ATCGGCAATAATTTTTTTGCAAAACCAAAATATTTTCCATAAGACTAGGACTTGTGACAGTGGACATGAAATGGTTTTGGATACACAAAGGGGTCGGTAGCGATGTCATTTAAGATCATTTCGAGCAGAAAAAGGTCTCAAGAAAAATAATTGGATACAAAGTGCCAAGGTAAAGTTGCCAACTATTGTTCACTTCATTTATGGTTGGGCTCATGAACTGACATCAGTGGACTTTTGCAAACTTGAATTTGGAATGAGCTTGAATTGTTCTGTATAATCATAAATGTATAATTTTTAATAAATGTATAATGTATTATTAATCGTAAATTTTTATATAAATTATTGGTTATCGAAAATACAAAATGTAAGTGTCGGACGTCAACTAAACTTGAGTGGCGGGAGTCAACTAGACCAGTACCAAAACGTATACTTAAACGGATCATTAATTTGTTGTGAGTGTTAGAACTTATAATTGTTACGATATTCGATATTCAGCGGTAAATCGAATTCCTATTAATCGATTTTTTAGATTTTGTTGTATTTCCAAAATGAATAACCATATACTCTTGAAATGTTCACCAAATATTTATATTAACATTTTCTCGAAAATTCTAAAACATCGTAAATTCTTCAAACAATATTAACTCTATATGAACTATATTTATAGCCTATGAGAACATTTTTCAAATTTAATTCAAATATAACACATCCATTACCACGACATGCTCAACGACTATACTGTATCTACAATGTACAGCAAAGCGGTACCCACTTGACCACATTTTTTTTTTATATGTTTTTGCTTCCAGGTTACTATTTTTATCACCTAAATAATATAATACACCATATGTATTTATCAGGTATATTACTATTGATTTACTTAAATATTAGTGTCCTTATGTGTTTATGCTACAGTTATGAATGTTTATAGTAATTTTAAAATTGAAGTATGGTATTTGATTGTGTGGGGGCATAGCCAAGGGTCTGTGTTATCTACATAATTTTAGCACCCCCAGTGTTTGGCCTCTAGTTATTTTTTTTTGTAATTCCTGACTTTGAAAACTATTGTGATTTTCAAATTTGACCTTTAAAGTTTTGTACTAAATTTAATTAAACATCAAAAAAGATGCTAAAATTGAAAATCGAAGCGTTATTTGTACTAGAAAAAATGTTTACACTTTACAGACAAAAAATACACACGTTATTGCAAAATCAATACATTTATTGCTCCCCTACTCCATAGTCGCCTTAGAATCTAAAATGAAATGGTATTGATTGCAATCTTAAAGCGTTTTTCACGTCTTAACCTATTATACTTCATGTAACTATTGTAAGAATGTATTCGATATTGTATACAATTTGGTATTTGCATTCACCCCTGCCTACACAATCATTAGTAGGTAATCAATTTGAAATTTCAAATACGATAGTGTAGACTAAGAAAAATCAGAAAAATAGCCACTGGGAGTACATATATCTCAGGTTCAAAATGGTTTATATTTTAAATATTTAAAATTTAAAATTCAAATAATTTTGTATTTTTCTAAAAATCTTTTTGTAATAAAAGTTATAAGTAGAGAGAGGATTTATATGCATTAAAAACCAACCTAATATGTGCTAAAAAATTCTTAAATATGCATAAATATATGCACTCAAATGTTAAAATATGCACTAAAAATAAAAAATATGCATAAAAAAAATTATGGAACCCAACTATCAATACTTTTCTACTTTTCTTAATTTTTTCTTGTTTTTGTAGGTAGTTTTAATCTATATAAGAAAAAATAGAAATCAATTTACCTATATATCAAAAATGTATCCCAAGATAAATTTACTTACCTAAATGTGAATTGCATTGTATGACAATCATTTTAGCTATATTTTCAAAAACCATTGATCAGCGTTTGTCAGTCAACAAATTTTTATATCTTGAAAATGATATAAATGATATAAATTGATATTTTCTTATCTAAGTACCTATACGTATTTTATTTCGCCGATTATTGATCTAAGGTCATATTTGGGAAAACCGTTTATACCTACACTACGAAATACTAAGCGAAAAAGCAGTATCTCCAATTTTGGTCGAAATTAAGATATTGCTATACGGGGGTTAACAATGTGGTTTTGTACCAGTTTTCGCAGTGAAAAAGCAGTATATCCAATATTTAACATTGAAAATGAGCATTTGAAATTAAGAAAATAAACAGTAAGTCCATAATTTTTGTGAAACTAGAAGCAAAAATACAGTAAATCCCAATAAGTAGCAAATAAGCAGTAAGTGACGTGGAGTTACTGTTATTTTGCTTATTTTCAAAATATTCTAACAGTAACTAAAAACACAGTATCTCCGTATTTACTATTTGATAATATTGGTGTATAAATTATATTCTGTAGTCACAACCACGGTTTCAGATTTATATTAAAGGTATATCAATCGTGGTCACACAGCTGATATGTTCATTATCAATTTGATGGAATACTGAATTATTAACAAATATTCTATTTTTAGGCTATGTTATACTGGATATACTGTAAATTTGCTTCTGATAGTGCTTATCAAATAAGCAGTAAGTCCATTTTGATGGTCAAGGAATTAACGAAAATATTTAAAAACTCATAAAATCAATTCTATGATATAAAATTAGTATATACACGTTTATTTTAGGATTGTATGTTAATTATACTTGGTGCACGGATCAGTATTGGGTCTAAACCTGTTTAGTCGATTTCCCAACATTTTGCTTAGATGGAGATCCTGCTTTTTCGCTAAGCACGGCAATACAAGTATACCTATTAATTTATTTTGATATTAATTTAAATTATAAAAATATAATATTTTTTTTCTTATATTATAATACTATATATTTCAAAAATGTCTAAAAAACAAAAAAGCATCGAAATATGCACTAAAAGAAGAAATAAGCTATTAAAATTGTAAAATAAGCCCTTAAAATAGAAAAATATCAAAATATGCAAAAATATGCGCTAAAAAAGTTTCATTTTTAAATTGTTATGTCATGAAACAGATTCTGTGCTCACTTAGCATATCATACGATCAATCAGAATAAATATGCAAATTGCAAATGCATACAAATCTGTGCTCTAGTTATAAGTTATGCTCACACGGCCTATAAATACAACTTTTACAAACTTTAGATCTATCATCTATGTACCTAGTATGATTTATATTAATTTAACACATTTAATAAGATAGACTCTTTGAGCAGAAATCGTCGTTTTCATAAATATTTGTTATTTTTACAATTTTTATAATTTCAAATTTGTATTGTTTTTTTTTTTATTATTATTCTTAACTTACACTTCAACGTCTATGATCTATTCATTATTTGTTACTTGTATAATTGCAACATAATTTTTCTTTGATGATAATTTAAAATGTAATAGTTCTGAAATCAAGCATGAATCACTTAATTTAGATAATAAAAAAGCTCTAGAGTTTTGAACGGCATCCATTCGATAAAATAAAATTAAAACAGTTTTTTTTCCAACACTTTTTAACAATGAATTTCTTGTATTATCATTTGTATAGTGTTTAATAGCATCTATCTATAGATTGAAAATTGATCGTACTTTCGATAAGTACCTATATAATGTTATATTATAACGTAATATTTGGGTATCTAAAACAATTGTTTATTTGATTTGTAAACAATTGATGCATTTTAATGATTGTGCTTTACTTGTGTTGTACGCTTAAGATGATGTCGTACCCGCATGTATTGTCTCTGCCTTGTTATATAAGTATGTAAAATGCTCATCATTCACTTTAAAATTAAAATATCGTAAAAAACCTAGGTGAGAACACAGATAATGTTCTTCCCTAAAAGTTTGATAAGAGGTTAATTCACTCCTTAGATCATATACTATAGTATATTATGATTTAAAATGTACTCTAGTAACAAAACTAACAGCACACTATTGAAACTGCTGAACGATAATGTTCTATTACGTATGTGTCATGCGTGTGTAAGACGGAGACAACACAGCGGGTACGACGTCCTCTAATTAATGTTATGTGTATGTGAGGAAGCATATCACTGTAAAGTACGGGGAAGTCTCGCACAAGTAATTTAATAAATAATAATAATTGCAAAACCGGTAATAGGAGATGGAATATTGCCTAAACTAAAATCCCCAAGTTCGGTACGTAATTTAATCCGCAATTTCACAATAATCTATTTAAGATTTTAAAGATCTTTACTAATTTACTATTACTTATATAATAATATAGAGACTATTTTTTCATTGCATATGCAATCACAATTTATTATTGATTTAGGTATTTACTATTTAACCATGTAAGCTATATACGCCTTACCTACATATTGTATCATGCATTATTGCATTATGATTTAGGAATCATGATTGATGATAGCTTGAAAAGATGATGTTAATAATTAATATTTGTTAAAATGTAATATAGCTCATATTCTTCCCCAACATATATTATACTAGGCCACTAGGACTAGGGTCTAGAATATTCATGATGTAAAAAAATACATCAATACCATAGGTTGTATACAAATTACTTAAAATTACAAAAGTAATCGAAAAACAGCAATTTGAAACTTTAAATATAATTGACCTTCAATTGTAAATAATGTAAGACTGTAATTATTTACAATTTTTTTTATATATATAATATTAGACTCGCTGCAAAAAACTAAACATGTATTTGGTGTCTTATTAAATGGTAAAATTGCCCTTGAATCTTTACGTAAACATAGGATTCTAAGTCATTTGCGCGCATGCTCCATGGCAAACAGTGACCTGTAAGTGAATGGTGGGATCAGCCGGTTTTCATTCCTTGTATTTTACTATACCTATCCTGTAACTTTGACTACCAAGATACACATAAAATTGTTCAATTCAACGTCAGATTTCTTACGTATACCTTATACATATGAACTATTTAAAATCGAACGCATTCGTGTAGGTACCTATAGTGTTTTTATGTAATTCATTTTTTTTTCTAGGTTTTGTGTCTAATAAATTCACTCACGAATATCCTTTATCCGCACCAACGAATAATTCTATACCTGGTATGTATATTTTATCGTTTATATAATATAAATTAATTAATAATTATATGTTTTTATAGTTTTATGGCATCTTAAATAGGTACTTAATTAGGTATTTAAACAAAATTAAATTATATATATAATATATATTATAATCTCAACATAGTTTTTCCCTTAAGTAATTATTTAGTCAATATTATTATAATTTATTAGAAACTTATAATATTATATACTGGTCTATTATTTCATCTTAATAGTTTAGGTAAAGAATGTTTTTACGTAAAGTGGGTACATATCACATACTTAACTACTTAAGGACTAAACATTTTTCTTTAGAATATTTTAGTAATTATTTGTTGAATAGGTAGGTACTTTATATTTTATGTAGGTAGTTAATTAAACTATTACATTGATTTACTTGACAACAACTCATTGATACGTGTATTTTTTTATTGAAGCCCTATACCTATCATGAGACGAATATAAGCATTTATAACATAATACTATTATAATATTTCACCTCAAAATATTGATTTAAAATTATCATGGATATAGCTATTATTCTGAGTTAATTTAAAAAGATCAATACATACATTGTACATGCATATCGTATTATAGTATATACAAATTAAGTGTTCCGATTCTGAATTTCTGATTCTTAAACTAGAAGAATATGCATCTTCTACAATGATACAATGGACCTCCAAATTCTCGTGATGTGGTTTATTAAAAAGCACCTATTGAAACGTGTAAACACTATACCTATTGCCTATAGGAATAGGAATCATACCAAGTCACCTAGATAACCATGTCAATGATTTCTACTTTTTTTTCGTTTGCAAATTTATTATAAACCAATTTTAAGCCGGCACGATGGCCTTCGTGTGGATCGCGGAAAGAAATCTAGTAATAGTGAGATGCTTATACGAAAAAGTATAAATACGAGTTATAAATATTGATAAATGATCAAAGTATTTTCATACTGAAATAATATATTATGTATGAAGGTAGTCAGGTTTTCGTCTCCCACTATTAATACTATGTATTATAACAAATATAACGGATCTAAAATAAGTATTTAGTCTAGAATCTGGATGTCCGATATTGTATAGGTATATATACAATATACTATATTTTATAGCGAGTGACAAATTACTTAATTTTTTAGATCAATATTTATGTTTATTATTTATATTTGTAAATTAATTTAAACAATAAACTATTGCAATTTCAATATTTTATTAAGTTCAGATAACAATGTTTCAAAAAAGTTCTGCAACAGATTATGAAAATAAAAATTGCAATTAATCAAAAATTAAAAACAGAAAAAATATAGACATCCAATAATTGTTGACCAAGGTGAGGGTGATATATATTGTTAATTTTAAAACAATGATAAATCATCACATTTTCAATCAAATTTTTTAGCGAATAATTTGCACATGTTGACATTTCTCAAACTAGGTGAGCTTGCATATAAACTGCATATCTTCAAAAAATATTCACAATTATGTTGTCGTCGTCAGTTTTTCATTATATTTGCATACAATTTAAAAATGTGACCTTAATACTATCCAGGATCGATTTCTGATATTTAAAGGGGTTTGATTAAACTTGTCATGCACTCGCATTGGTCTCCTTCTACCCGAAAACATATTAAATTTCTTCTTAAAATTTAAAATGGTTTACGAAATACAGTAGTTTGTGTACAATATAGGTATTACTATTGTCGTCGTAATATAGAATATTATAAATCACTTTCTTTAAACTTCTAAGTTCAAACACATTATAATAAATAATAGGTATAGCTGTAGTCATGATAAAGTATAAATAATTCATTGTATAATTAATTATGTACATACGCAGTGGCACAATGTCAATACATTGTAAATATGCCGATAAACCATTACGGCTCTTGTCAAATAAATGGTCTAAAATATTGAATTATAATCCAACCATATTTTAGGCAATGTTAATAAAATGAATTATCCTGTTTACAGACTATCACAACGAGACAAAATTATAAAGTATAAACATACAATTGAAGATTTATACCAACTTATTTGTTACTTGTTAGTATAAAATAATACCTATATAATATTGTAAAATACTAAAATGACACATTGACTATATGAAAATAAACAAAATACAATTTTAATATAGTCTGTGAATGGCCTATTATGGCTATATAGCATCATTAGCATTTAGCATCTAGGTAAATACAAAAAAATATAACAAAGATACAATACAGTGACAATTATTTTAATCTGCGATACAATGAAAAGTACCTATCTAGGCTTGGCTTGGCTCCCTTTTTTATAATATAATAGTAACATAACAAATATTTAAAAATTGTAAAATAACAATACAATAAGTAATTATATAAATAAAAAAGGGATGGCATGACGACTTGACTGAAGGGGCTGAATGCAGAATGACATTAGGTACTTAAACATGACTGGATATTATAGAAGCGTTCTTCTTTTATTCTATATTTTTTTAGAAGGTCGTTGGGCCAATTATAGGTTTTATTCAATTAGGAAGGTTATCCGGGATGACAAATTGAAGATATATTTGATATTAGGGGGTTTAGTGCATTGTAGTGTTAAAGCGGAATTTTTTATTTTCGGGATTGGTGACCTCTGTTACACTTTTATAGAGTATTTGGCGCCACTGACTACGTTTTTTAAACAACTATAATGTTTGAAGTAGTGACAGTTATTAGTAGTACGGAGACGTAATGTCAATATTTCTTAGGGAGGGCAAACTTTTCAGTTCATCACCAATGTTCACGTGGTTCAATTTTTAAAACAACAGATTTATATTAAAAAGCTTTGTTGTAACAAAACTAATAGGTATGCAATAATTTTCTAAAATACTAAGACAGAAAACAACAACACAAAATATAAAAAGTGCTCTGCTGTACAGTAGGTACAAGTGGGTCACTGTATAATGGATGGTATTAAATTTGAATTAAATGATATGTACAATATCATTGTATAAGAAATTCTGAGCGGAGACGGTATGTCAGCCTAGGTATATAACTGTATAAGACATATACTACATACTTATCTATGGTATTAAAAAAAAAAATTGACCTATAATAGAAACCTATAATAAATTCCAAATTAACCATATCACAATCTCCATTAGGTATACTTATAACGCGTTATACATCAACAACAAACCCTGATGGCTGATACTATCATAGATATATATAGTAGTATACTTTAGAAGTTTCAAGTACTCACGAATGATATTATACAATCACAACAAAATAACTAAAATATAGTTATTCTAGGTTTTTTAATATGTAATTTCGTCCAAATTTTAACTTAAAATGTCTATACAAATAAACTGTCCTTCTGTATATTTTAGATTTTTTAGTAACAGAATTAACTACTTACGTGGAATCTTGTTTTAAATGTTCAATCCTTAGGTATAAAAGTTGGACATTTTATAAATTTTTAACTACAAAATAATTATTCAATTTTAAATTTGATAAATTTTGTCAAAATTCGATCTTTAAATGCTTACAAAAAAAAATTGTGCCTATGTATTTTTAATATTCTTCAACTGATATTGTAACAATATATCAGGAGCCTTGAATTACATTTTTACACTTTTTGGCCCAATAGATAGAACTTTATTGATATTTATTGAAAAAAAAACTAAAAAAATTGAAAACTGAAAATGTCCGTAAACAGCTCAAAATATTAAAAAAATTGTATGGTGTATAGAAAATGCTAATATAAACATTCAGAGAAATTTTCATGTTTCTACAGTTATTCGTTTTTGAATAACAACAAAATAAGGAAATCGCTACATGAGAAATCGAGAGAATATCCAATGTTGTAAAAATTTAAATTTCAAACGCTCATAAAAATTTAATTTGACTTTCTAATTATTTGCTAATTTTCTTGATTTTTCCATATTTTGTCAATTTTTCAATTTTAAATGCTTATAAAAAAAAACTTAGACTAAGGATTTTTAATATTTTTCATCTGCCTTTGAAACAATATTATACTAGGAACCTTCTATTAAATGTTCAAGCTTTTTTAACCAACAAATAAAATTTTATTGATATTTTTAGAAAAAAACTAAAAATAAATGGAAAATGGAAATGTCCGTAAAGAGCTCAAAATAAGTAAAAAATGTTATGGTGTATAGAAAATCCTAATATAAACATTCAGTCAACATTTCATGCACTTACGGTAATTTGTTTAAGAGTAGCACCGAAAACCAAAATCGATTTACTCGAAAACAGATTTTTCTTTTGTTTTTCACGGCGCTTTTGAAAACTACTGAGAAATGTTTACTTTTGACCCCCCAAAGTACCAACTAGATTCACTTTCCTATCAGAAAAGATACTGTTAAAGAAAATCAAAACACTTTTACTGTCCTAAAACGTGATGACAGACACAAAAAAAAATTAAAAATTAAAAAAAAAACACACATCATTGTAAAATTAATACATTCATCGTTCCACTCAGAATCTAAAATCTATAGTGCTACTATATAAACGATACAGACTAGTAGGTACAGTTAATAATTGTATATATAAATATTTAAACTGCAGGTTTATACATCTATTATCCATGTTTTTATTAATCAATGATAATTTTTATAATAGTTATGTAATGTGATAAAATGTCCGATAAAAATATTCACCAATAGGTAGTTCAAATTTGGTTAAAAAAAATGTTTAAATACTTCTTAAAATATGCTTTTATTGCCCTGTTTTTACAATTTTTAGGTATATTTAGGGGGTTGGAGCGCTTTAAAAAATACGGCCTTGGGTGTATACTGTATAGGGTTTTTTTCAATTCATTAATAAGATATAGCGCTGGTTATTATAGCTAGGCTGTCGCGTCGCTGCGGATAAAGTGTAGTCAGGCCTATGAATGATCGGTGAAATACGATTGAAGACTTGTACGATTGAGAGCGGCATTTTTGGTAACACGATTGAGAACGCTCGAAATGTTAGTTTTTCCAACGTTGCCAAATTTAATCGAATGATA